CCATTTTTGTGTATAGAGTTGCCTTGGTTATAGCCATGACCGTTTATAAACTTTTGTATATCTGGAATAGTAAATTTTGGAAATGAAAAGTTAAATTTTACTCGAGTTTTAGATTTGAAATATCCAATTTGGAAATTAAGAACTCAGTAAGTTCCCAGCCTTGTGCATTTGTGGGCTTCGCTCACGAGTGCACGGTGTCTGTCGCGCCTCGAATTCGGGTTTTAGGGCATGACAGATTTAGTGGTATCAGAGCCTAAGTTTAAATTAAATACCTAGGATTTGTTTAGAATTTGACTAGCCAAGGGATCATAGGAATGTGGTGAGGCATGAGAATGGGGCTGATTAAGAGCACTTATTTGATTCTTTTTATGTGTGTGGAATTATTAATGACTATGTTATTTGGTCCTAGAAGTGGGAACTTGCCGGGTCATTTCTCAGTTGGGGCACTTGATTAATGATCTATAAACCTTCTGTGTGATTATAGATGGCTCCGAAACGGCGTGGGCACCCGAGGGGTGGCCGTAAGGACTCGGGCACTCCTCCGATCCCAGTTGCCAATCCCCCTGCCTAAGTTGCTCCTCAGGAGGGAGGGACGAGCAACCCTCAAATGGACACTTTCCTTCAAGAATTTATGGCGGAGATGAGACACCAAGCGTCTCCTGCCACAAGTGTGCCACCTCCATCCCCAGTGATTCCCACCTGGGCGGCCCTTCCTCTTATCTCTCCTGTTCCTATCTCTGCTGCTCCTACTGTGCCTAGCTGGAAGATTTATACTGAATTCCAGAAGCTGGTGACTAGGAGATTTGATGGTACAGTGGGTTTTGAGCAAGTAGGGTCATGGTTTACTGAGGTGGAAAGGGGGTTCCGCTTACTGAAGGTTTCTAATGACCTTAAGGTGGATGTGGGCAGCTATATGCTTACAGGTGATGCATTAACTTGGTGGGAGACTTATTTGAAGCTACACCAAGATGCATTAACTTGGTGGGAGACTTATTTGAAGCTACACCAAGGAGAGCCTGAATTAAGCACCTGGGATGGGTTTAAACGGGTGTTCATGCAAGAGTATATACCCGATAGCAAAAGGCGAGAACTGCAAAGAGAATTTGCAGATCTAAAACAAGGGTCACGTACTGTTGAGCAGTACAAGAAGGAGTTTGACCGCTATCTGCCTTTTGTGGGTGGTCAAGTCAGGGATGAGCAATCCAAAGCTAATAGATTTTTATGGGGCTTGAATCTTGACATTTACCTGGCGATGAATCAATTCAAACCTGCCACTTATAGAGAGACAACGAACAAAGCCATAGATCAGGAAAAGGCTATGGCTAGGGTCCAAACACAAGATCCACAAAAAGTTGGGTCATCTTTTAAGAAGAGAAAATTTGATGAGAGTCATAGACCCTCAATCTCTACACCGCCTAGGTCTGATACCGACGAGGCTTCTAAAGAGCTAAGGGTAGCCAAGACCGTGGGTCAAGCATCAGCAGCCCAACGTACTCAACCTGCCCCACCTATTTGCCACGCTTGTGGAAAAGTGGGCCACACTTGCGACCAATGTCACGTTTTTACTAGGGCTTGCTTCAGATGTGGCAAGCAGGGACATCAGGTTGCAAATTGCCTGCAGCCGGACCCTAGAGCTTAGAGTACTCAAATTGTATCTCCACAAGGTTCTACGAATCAGAAGGTGCAGAACCAGAATGTCGAGGTTAGGACAAGAGCCCAACAGGCGAGAGGTCACGTGATGACTCACCAGGAAGCTGCGGCTACCAACATAATCACGGGTACTTGCTTGCTAATTCTGATTATGCACATGCTTAATTTGATTCAAGTGCATCACACTTTTTATTGCTTGATCGTCTGCTTGAAACGAGCTTTACTTGTTGATAATTCTCATTTTGAACTGCATATGAACACCCCTTTAGGAAGGGTGATGACTATTAGTGATGTGCGTAGAACGGTAGATATTATATTGATGGTAGATAATTGGGTGCTAGCTTGTTTGCTTAGATACCTCAATTTTGACATTATTATGGGGAAAATTGAGTCCGAGGTATATTGGACTATATGCTATCCCGGAAAGAATTGACGAGGTAAAAGGTTAGCCATTTCTAATTGGATGTAAGTTTTAGATTTTATCTCCTAGATTTGAGTTTTGGGGACAAAACTCCTTTTTAGGAGGGGTGGATCTAATATCCCCAAATTTGAGGGACTTAGTTGTGAGAGATTCTTATTAATGGACCTAATAGCAAAACTTTCTAAAGTCAAGGGGCTTAAAAGAAGATAATTTGGAAAAGGATCGGTTGACCCCTTTTTCCTTTTTTCTTTTTCTTTTCTTTTCTTTCTTTCTTCTTTCCCCGCGCGTCTTGTTCTTCCTCTTCCCCCGACCCCCTGCAACCCGACGAGCCCCAGCCACCGCCCCCCCTTTTTCCGGCCGAAACACCGGTAAAAACTTGGAAAATTCTCCTCCTTTTCTTGTTCTAGAACACCTAGTAAGCCTAGAATTTTCCAGATCTAGTCTGCTCCTCCTCCCCTGTCCGCGAGCTGCAGCTTGTGGTGAGCAATCTCCGGGTTTTTCCGGTAAGCAACAGCCATGAGTTCCTCTCTTCAGCTCTAAATTGGCTTGGGTTCACTCTAATTGCTTTTATTTCTGTCAATTTCGTGCTAGTTCCCTGCGGATTTTCGCCCCTGCCATACCCACCGGATCTGGTTTTGCTTGCTAGAAATTCCGGTAAGATGATAACTTCCATAAGCTTGGATTTTGTCAATTGATTGTTGCCTTGAATCTTCGAATTTCCTGCCTTGAATTGCCCTTGTGCTGTTCGGATTTTTTGCTGAAAAAGGGGAGAATTCCGACAGCAAGTGAGATGAATTTTCTTACTGAATTCATGTAGGAATTTTGTTAATTAGGCTGTGGTGATGTTTTGGAGAGAAACTCCAGTGTGTGTGTGAGTTGTGGTTTGCCAAACCATGCTCTCCATGTGTTGCCGTGAGTAAATGGGAGAATTTGATGTGAATTATGCAAATATATAAGTGCACAATTGATTTTGTGCTTGATTTCGGATAGAAAAATGAGTAAATAAATAAATAAAGAAA